GAGGGATTATTAATCCCATTAAAAACGGGATTATTCCTGACGGCCACTGGTTTAATTCGGCATTCAGAAACAGTTTGCAGCATTTTTCTTACTTGCAGGGAGAAATAATAATCTCTAATGAGAAAAAAAATAACCGCAGCTTTCTGTTGCAATGTAAATTTCCTTTATTTTAGGAATTCGGTTTTGTCTTTCTGCAACAGCAGAGGTTCCCGGCGATGGCATCACAGGCTCTGCAGATGTGATGTCTCAGCAATTCTCCTAGCTTGACCGCTGGCGGGCAAGTGACTTCGCCCCTGGGTTTGGAGAATCTGCCCTTCCTCTTCACCTCTGCACCTCTGCCTCCCCCCTGTTGAAAACTTCCACATCCCCACGAGCACCCCTGGAAGCTCATGGGATGTGGGACACAGCTCAGTCGTAGCACCAAGCATCTGGGTTTCAGAGCCCCTCGCAGACTGGTGCTGGTGCAGTCGTGCACAGCAGAGTGATGTTATCACTGTCTAGGGGAGAAAGGGGGGCTGAAGCCCAGGAAGGGGGACAACCTCTTTTTTTTTTTTTTTTTTTAAACACCTTGGATGTCAGGGTGTTTCCTGCTTGGTTAAATACAGATGGATGTCCAGGTTTGGGGTCAGAATGAGATAATGAGTCCTGGTTGGTTTGCACCTCCCAGGGTTTCCTGCTCAGTCCCGTGCTTGCAGAGGAGGTGGTGAAGCACTGCAGGAATATCTCCATATCTGGGACTGACCGCATGGTTCCTTGCCAGGACCCCAGCTGCTGATAGGACCTGAGGTGGGATTGATGAGCTCCATCTCTGGCAGTGGTTAATTAAATCCTCTGAGGATGACAGGTAAATCAGTGTGTTCACTACTAATAGGTTTCTAGGAGCACCGGTCCCATCTCCCTGTCCCACTGTTGAAGGAGAAGCAGTCCAAATTGCCTTTTGGATTGAGGGTAGACATCTGTACCTCTGCTCCTTGAAACGGTATTGATGTCTGAACGCTGTAAGATAAATATCAGGAAGCAGAGGTGCTTCTGCACATTGTACAGATTTGCCATCGCTATACATCCGTTTCCTTTCCACATCCAAACAGTTTCTCACTTATTGCAATGTTTTTGTCTCTTGGATTCTTCTGTGTTGTTCCCACATATCCTTCTGTCACATATTGCACGTTGGCCTTCTGACTGACAACTGGAAGATAAACATACATTTATTATGGATTTTGTAAAGGGTATGTGTGTTTACCTGCATGGCTTAAATATTTTGTATTTTAAAATATTTGGAAAAGAGGAAAGTGTTGAAAATATTTTGACAATAATTACAAGCTCCTTTCTCTTTTAATGCTGTTTAGGTGCTGCAACAAACTAATGTTGAAAGATGTTGGCAGAGTTCCCTCGGATGAGAGCCACTCAGGACAGTTTAACAACAGTAGCACTTCTGGTACATACCACACATTGTTTTCTATAGTGTTTCAGTAAATTATTTTTAGAAACTAGATAAACCCATTGTGATTATCCAGTCTAACCTACTAAATATAAACCAATGGTTTTCACTTTGCATGGCTCTGCATCACTCTTGCTGAAGATATATCTGTGGTGGACCCATGCGTATGAAAGGTTTGGGTTCAGAATATTCAGGTCTAAAATGTGCAATTTGTGAATATCTCAGTACAGTAAGATTGACTGCCATCTGCTCTGGCTGTGGTCAGCAGCAATGCTCTAACAGGAATTAGTTTATGTTGGTTAAAGCTTTTTACCGTGTCCGTTCTTCTCATGGCTTGGACTGTCTTCATTGGATTTGGATTTATAACTCTCCAGTGTCTGCTCTGAAACATCATTTTCTGTGCAGAAAACAAATGCAATTAAGATCATGAGATTTTTCTGTGGCTCTTCCTCACTCTCTATTGAACATAAAAATCCCGAGAGACTACTTATAAAATGGGGGTTCAATTCTCCTGCTTAAGACCACAATTTCCTTGGCTTTTGTGGCACCTCATGTCAGCTGAAGCCTGGCCTGGAGGAGCCATGTCTTGTCTCTGCTTAACAGGCTCCTCAGCTCTCCAGCCCCTCAGAAAAATCCGCATCAGCAGTTGCTCGGCCAGGGCCATCACCCACCTCTCTTCCACACTCCGTGAGCTTTTTTCAGCTTCCTCATGAAAAGCAGGACAATGATGAGCAGCGCGAAAATCAGAGCAGCCACCAAGATGGGCAGCAAGAGATTCTTCTTCTTTTTGCTGCCTTCAGATTTCAGATCTTGCTCTGTAAAAGAGGCAGGTGTGTGTTTGTGTTGTTAAATAGCTTCCTGTGAGTCTCTGCTGATTCAGACAAGCATGATATATCCTGGACCAGGCCAGGTGAATGTGGTGGGAGGGCGCAAGTCACCTTGTTTGACTCAATTTTAGGATGTAAGGTCAAATTTTTCCTTCTTAAATGAACAAGAAAAACTGATTGAAATCAGTGGACTCGTGCTCTGGCACAACAAACAGTAAGATTTAGCATTTTTCTGGGTTGTAAAAATGGCTGTGTTTCTGTGGTCTTTGCCATTAAAGAGTACATACCCAAGGTAACGGTGGAAATCACAGTCACATTTGCACTTGGTAGCGGGGCTTCTGTCCTGGAAAGTTCCTCTTCTGTGACATTGCCTTGGAATGCCATTTCAGTCCCTGGAGGAATAAAAAGGAGAACAGTGTTTCTCTGAAGGGCAAAGGGATGCTTAAGACCCAGCAGCTTTGAAGTCCAGGGCACCTGGTACTGCAGGAGAAAGGGACTTCTGCAGCCCCTGACTTAGAGCTCTATGCTCACTTCCTTAATGCTGTATTTCATTTTAATCTGAAGAACACCCAAGCTTTATGAACAGAAAATCCTCAGAGTCTCTTAAACATTGTTGAACCCAATGGTTCCCATTTACAGCTGAATTAAAACAGAGTTGAGCTTTGACTCTCTGATCATTTTGAGGTTTTCCCTGTTCATCAGTTTGCTTGCAACACTGGGAATGACCATGTATCCTTTTCCTTAAAGCAGATATTTTTTTTGGTGTTCAAATCCCTGATTACTCTTTCACTGTCTTCATAGCTCACAGTCATGCAATCACCCTGCATGAGACCCCCCCTCCTTTGCCACCACCACCCATGTCCGATGGTGCAAGGTCGTACCGTTGGGGACACGATAACTCGACGAACCAGCCAATTCTTCCCTTCCTGCCGCAGCTGGCGTTACTTCAGACCCTGTGCAAACAGAGGGGTGAGTTCTGACTTTCTTACACACATTCCATACATCCTTGTATTTTGATTTGATTTTGAAAACTAAAATATTAATGCATGCTGTGCCTACCAAAACTTTACATTCATAAGAGATTTTCTTCCTTACCAGGTATGTAAGCACACCTAGTGAAAGTCCTGTTGAAAGACTCAGGCTCGCTCTCCGTGTATGTTTATCAACATCTGTAGGAATTGTTTGTGGGGATGTAGCCCTTCTGTGACGTTTGTAATCACTGATGTAGCACTTCCAAGCAAATACAAACAAAGGGCTGGTGTATTTCTAAAACACCCAATTGACTTTTCCCTGCAGGTGTGTGCACCCACTGTGGTGGGGTTTGGCCAACGGATTTGGGCAGTGGAGCTCTTAATTCTTCTGCTGGAAACAACTTCTCAGTGCAGCAACTGCAGCCTGCAGCCGGCTATGTGCAGGGATAACCGCTGTTGCGCAGTGCCACCTAGTGCAACTGTCCAGAGAGATCCTGGATCCTCTGGTACTGCAGAAGGGGTGGTTTGTTGTTCAGATCCTAAAGGACCCCCGCCAAAACACAAGACAAAAATCACAAGACACTCTTTGGCACTGAACTGATCATTGAAAAACGAAACCTGCCCTGTATGCTCCATGCTCTGGATGCTCTGTCTGATCAGTGGTTAGACTTACAGTCCTACCCTCCCACCTTCAGCTTCCCTGTCCTCTGAATAGATTTAACACTATGAAATGAGGACAAAAAAGAAAGTGAAACCCTCACCAGTATGCTGTGGGTGGCTTGGAGCAGAGGCCGTGCTGCTGTTCGGATCTGACACTGCTGTGGTCACTGGGGAAAAAACAAAGCTGTTCTGAAGGCTGAGAAAATATCCCCCAGCAGCACTGGTAACTGCTCTTTTACAGCCCTAGCTCTAGGTAAAGGCACTGTACAGTATCGTCATTTTTTACCCCCCCCCCCCAGTTTCTATTAAGTATGATGGTGAATGATATGGAATATTCCACTGGCCATTGCATTTGTTGCTTTACCTGTGCTCCCTCCCAGCTTCTGGTGCACCTGCAAATTCAACAAAGCACGGGAGCCTGGAAATGTCCTTGGATTCCCAGACAGCAGCCCAAAACATCAGTGTGCTATCAACATTCTTCTCAGCACAAATCCAAAACATAGCCTCATACTAGCTACTAAGAAGAAACTTAACTCTAGCCCAAATTCAGGACAGTAAAAAGAAATTTAACTCTAACCCAGCTGAAACCAGCACAGATATTTTCTGCGATAGATGCAGTGTTTATCTGACCTGTGCAATAATTTAAACAAGGCCAAGCAATTCCTGCCTACCTGGAGATTCCTCATTCTCAGGGACATGTGTATCCACCTCTAGGGCAGCTGGTGCAGGATTTGTATTTGTCACTGAAAAAACCCAACAACAGTACAACTTATAGAGCACTTATAAGCATTTGTTGAATCAAGAAATCTATAGGAAGAACAAAGGAAGAGTAATTAGATAGATCCTAAAGATGAGTAAATAGGCAGAAGGCAAACTCTACTCCAAGAATTATTAGACAAGCAGCTTCAGTGTTAACTTACAACATCTAGACCCTGCTAGCTTTCCAGGTGGATGTGTCTAATATGCAGAAGACATGGGAAGCTCACAGCTTTTTGAGAACATAAACTGTGAATTGTCTTTAAAGCTGCAGGACAAACATCACCTGAATGCTAGCAGCAGCGCTGGGGAACTGTCCTGCCTGGGCTGCTGTGGCTTAATGTTTAATGAATTTCAAGGTAATTAAGAAGCAGAAAAAAGCCCCCAAATCTTGGTTTGGAGTTCTTCTTTTGCCCCAGTAGCCCTCTCATTTATAAATAGGTTCCACACACAGGGCAGTAGACTATGGGCTTCAGCTTTGCATGTATATTTGCATAACTTTCACCATCTCAGAGACGTAAAATGGGATAGCCACTGCTGAAGGAGCCTGCAGTACCCGTCCTAGGGAGGTCCTCAAACTGGAAAGATGCCATCAGCTTCTCTGCTCTTAGTGCTCGGTGGCGAACGATGCAGCTGGCTGTTGAACCGGGTCCATAGGTGAGGACTGTCAGCGTGCTGGTTGTGGTCCATTTCTTCCCATCAGCTTCTAACTTGTGCTTAGTGTCACCTATACACCCATTGGAAGAAAACATTTAAGTGCTTTCTAGTCAAGAGCAATTTAATGAAAAACCTTCCAGGAGCAATCTGCATTACTTGGCTGTGCTGGAGCAGCACATGATTACTGTGCACGAGTGGTTCGCTGTGTAAATGGATCACACGGGAGCCCAAAGGCAGTGAGGTCATGCTTTCTTCCTTGGCAGTTGGTTAAGTGCAGACCTTGCTGCACCCCCTGTGCTCAGCCCAAAGCCTCCGCTCCGCTTCATGACTCACATGGGAAATTCCCCTGCAGCACCCTGCAGGACTGCGGCGAAATGTCCAAACACCCCCCGGCACTTTTGGTCCTGACTGAATGGAATAAATTGCTTTGCTGTGTGCCGCAGCCACGCAGGGCCCGCAGCCAGGAGCCTCGGGGCAAGGACCTGCTGTTCTGCAGCCTGACTGAGATCTAAAAAAGTTCTAATTCTGCTGTGTTGTAATCCAAGGGCATTAAACTTGTGTCTTAATAGCTGCAGATTTATTACCGCAAACATAAAAAGAAGTTGTTAAATTTGCATTGATGTGCAATATTTACATTTGTAATAAATAAACATTGGTACAACTCTGTTAAATCCTGGACAAGTCAACCATTGTCCCTACAATGCAGGTTTCACTTGTCCCCTTTGGGAGCTGGGGGAAGTTCAACACAAAGATTAATTGCCTTGCCATAATGAATTAGAGAGCGCTGTGTAACTTGTCTGATGTGGTTCCGAGTCCTGTAGGTAATACTGGTGTCTACTCATTTATATGATATTGAAAAATAAAGATGTATTTCATGTGACACAAAGAGATGTGTTTAAATAGCTCTGGTGGAGAGGGAGGTTTTTTCAGATGTTTACCGCAAATGCCCATGGCGGCACAATAATCTCTACTGTCTGTCTCTGATGTAGAGGTTCTCTGGAAACAAACTGACGCTTTCTCTTGATCTGTTACCCCTGGTAACACCCTTATTTCTTAAACGAAATAAATTCCTTGTTTCTAAATTAGCCTTTACAGGTAACTCTCTGTATCACATAGAGCAGTATTTCTCAACCTTTTTTTCCATCCCCAGCAGGGTCACGCAAGAGCACAAAAGGATTTCAAAACATTTTTTGTTAGAAAGGAAATAATCTTTAATTGTCAGGAACAGCTCAGTAATTACAGCTGGTTTGCCCCTGCTGAGTCCTGGTGGGACTGGGGAGCTGCCAGTAATTACGATATATTAGCTATTTTCTGATTACTATAAATATTTGCAGTATTTGATTAAAGCTTAGAACAGAACGGGGGAGAAAGGAGTGTGACTCAAAGACAGTCACCTGCAACAAAAGAGAGGCACCTGCAGAGGGGATGAGAAACATCAAATTAGGGCAGTTGGTTTTCTTTTTTTTTTTTTTTTTTTTTTACTTTCCAGCATTTTAATTCGTGTCTGCCCCAAGCAAATGTAAATTTTTCCTGTTCAGCAGAGCAGCCCCTACTGGCCCCAGGCTAATGGCCCTCACATGTGGCTGAGGGGCAAGCTGGAAGGGTGCTGGTCGGGCTGGCTGGGTCAGTGCTGTAAAGGTCTCGGGGAGAGAAAGGGAAGTATTTTTTGCTGAAATAAGCAGAGGAATGTATATGTGTTGTGGGAGATGTTTAGGGTCTGAGCTATGTGCTGTGATGTTAGAAATAATATACTTATTATATTGTGATTACAGGCTCAGCTTTGAATGTGTTGCTTGATGATGCAAAATACAAAAAAGAATATGTGAAAGAGAATACATTTGCGTCTATGGGTATTTTCCTTACGCCTTGGTACAGATGTGCATTTTCTCTCCCCTCTGCTACAGTTACAGCTAGTAAGGTAGTTATTATTAGAATGTGGCCTTCAAAGCAGCTATTTCTGTAGTACACACGTGAAACTGAGCTATGTGGTGGCTCTGTGCTCCTTGTGTGTGTCCACCTGGACATGTGTGGATCTCTGGCTGGAGGGAGCATCACAAGGTGATGTGGGGTCTGTTTCCTGAGCTCTTTTTTGCTTCTGCTGGTGAGCTGCCTGGTTCTGAACAGATGGATGAGAGGGAAAGGCTGCTGGTGAGCTGCTCAGCACAGCTGAGGAAAATCTGCCTACCAGTTACAACATGGAAAGAATGATGATGGATTTTTTTTTTTTTTTTTGACTGACCTTATAGTGGGGCTTTGAAAATTGTGCCTCCAGAGTTTTGTTTTCGTTGGAATTTCACTCCAGACTCTCAAGGGATTTTGGTGCCAGGTATTGTTCTGCTCTGAATGTGAGCAAAGCAGGTGAGCCCCCTCCCTTGCACAAACACTGGCATTTAGTGCTGACTTTTCTCTGAGCTTACACCTACGGGGCCCAAGTTGTACTAAATGCACAGAGGATGAGTGGTAGTCCCAGCTGATGTGTTGCAGAAGGTGTTTCACCCTCCTGTATTTTTAAACCTGCCCAAGGCTGGTAAGAAGAAATTGTTTGTAATCAATCCCTGGCCCTTTAACACTCACCAGGGAGCTCTATCCCGTTGTCCAACAGCCAGGTAATCTGGGGCTGTGGTTTACATCCTTGGGTATGGCAAGACAGTGTAATCCTTCTTTCTGCATCTTGGGATACTTCCAGTACTGCGCTAGAAGGAGCAGCTGCGGCAGTAAGACTTAGCATCAGTTATGGTACATCTTGCTACTCAGAGTTGTGTTAAGCACTATAAAACTGCATGCAAAAATGCAGGGCTGGAGTTGAGAAGCTGGCTTTGTTCTGCTCCTCTGGAATAAAGCAGGTGAAGGAACTTACCTGATACCTCAACAGTCTTGTTCTTGCTTTGGAATGGGGTGCCGTAGTAGAAGCATTTATATACGCCTTCATCGTGCACTGTTACGTTAGACAGTCGGATGGATAATTCATCCTTCGAATAACGGATAAGTTGGTACCTCTGATCTCTTAAAGCTGTAAAGAAAAAAAAACCCAGCATGCTATACGTGTTGGTAGGTAAGAGACAGGTAATCAAAGCAGTAACGGAATGAGGATAGTTGTCTTTATTGCATTTTTAAAATTCATCAGCACTTGACATAAGGGAGTGGGTGCAAAGCATTCCCAGCTGGTGCTGTGCTAGTACAGAGGCAGCAGGAAAATGAAGAAGGGGGGTGTGTGCTGCCAGCGGGGAAAATTAGGGGTTTTTTTTCTTGCTTTTATTTTCAGGGGGTCTTACTCCTGTGTTCCCAGGTATTGTAACAATTGGTTTCTTTAAGTGTAAGCAAACTTTGGAGTGTGAGGATGTGATACATGGTCAGAAAAGTAATATGACCTTTGAATATAGGGTATAGGTGCATGAACTGAGGACCTTTCCCTTCCCCATTCCCCAAGCCTTTGTCTGGCCTTGAAGAAATCGCTTCCCCTCTTTGGGTGTATGTTGTGATATGTAAATGTACGCTATGGTCAGCACACGCCTCTTTATTAACTGTTTATTAATTGGCTCTTCTGCTATCCTTGTCTAATTACCTTGATTTTAATGAGCCCATCTCCTAGGATAGCTGTATTCTACTGTATAGTCCCTTTTTTCTCTGGGATAAAAAAGACCCGCGGGAGTCTTTGGGGTCAGGCCAGCAAGTCGCATGGGCTCTTCCCACAACCGCAGCACAGAAAGTGTAACTTTCTGCCCTTAAATTGAACTGAAACTGGGGGTTTGTACCAGCCATTAGGCAGAAAAAGACCTTAAAAATGATCGGTTTATTTTCAATTTCTTTTAGCTGAGGTCTTGTAAAAATAGAGAGTTGGGAGAAAATTACAACAGTACTATAATTTATGAAGGTGATTAAATAGTAAAGGATTTTGAAACCACAGTGATGTAAGACTTGTAGCTAGCTTGTCATATTTTTAGCTACAACGAGACTGGAGGGAACTGATTCACGAAGCGGTTTATTGGAGAAGCAATGTGACAGGGATTCACAGGGGTGATTTAGAAGAAAAAATGAAAATGTCCACGTGCAGTGTAAAGTTTGCTTTCTGTCTAAATGAGGACTGTTTCCTTTTGTACTGCAAAAGGAAAATAATCCAGCGTGTCTGACTTATCAGGGATCCAAATGCCTTGCAAGCTCTAGTCCTTGGGGGTGTTATATCATGCATCTTCGTGAAGGATAATTGTGGGATGTTGAATCCTCAGGTGATGTAAGATAGATACTGTTTTGTTCACCCAGGTTAAATTTGTGAATTGTTGTAGCTGTAAATTTGGCTTTGTTAGCAGATACTAGAAATCACTGCTTGTTTTCTAAAGATTTCCTCTTGATGCACTACATCAAATTCCCTGATGAGCAGAAGAGCACCCAGGGCTTTCAGGCACGTCCGCTCCTGTCTCTCTTGTAAGGCAAGAGTGGGCTTTTGTGCTAATCTCTTGGTGCTGGTGGTAACTACGGTTCATCGCTAAAAGCTCTAGTGCCAGACCGCTCTTGTGGGGGTTTCCATTTCATCAGCTTCCTGCCAGAAAGGGGCTGAATGTAATGTCTGGGGTGGTTGGGTAGCAGGTGAGTCAGTGGCCATGGGTGGGAGCAGGGAAAGCCCCCTTGGGAGTGACCCTCCAGCCCCAGGTGGAAAGTGCTGCAGGCAGTGTTCACACTTACCCCGCTGGGCATTGAGAAAAATGCCAAAGCCCTGAGGGTTTAACCACTGCCGGGCAGAACCGCTGCCGCTGCTGAGGGTGCAGCGGAGGTTGAGGTCCTCTCCTTCCTTTAGAGTGATGGTTTCACTGCCAGCTCCTGGAAACTCCCCTGCCAGAGATGGGGGGAAAAAACAAGTATTATAATGTGACATGAAGTGACAATGTTTTGCACAGAGTAGTATATCAGCTTTCTTCTTTTCAAGGGTGTAAAGGTTTTTCTACACTGGGAGACTTGCCAATGTTATTGTACTGATATAAATAAATCACAGTCATTAGAAAGCTCATCGCAGTCACTGAGTAAGATTTTTGCCAAAGGTTTGTGATCGTCACCTGCTAGCACAACCAGACTTAGTTATTAGATGTTATTCCACATGAGTCAATGAAGAACTGATAGCAGACCCATTTAATGCACGTTCTTCCTGTATGTTAACACAAACACTTAATTTTCATCATTCCTTGTTCAGTTCTGGAGCCCGATTTGCAAGTGTGCGGGACTGAGCAGTGGATGACCAGCACCTCTGAGAACCCAGGCCTTTTTCTTCAGAAATTGTAATGCTGCAACTGCTTTGAACTGGCTTTGAAATGGCTTTTGCAGGCAGGATCCCCAAACCTGGCCAGGCACAGGTTACTAAAATGAAATGTCATTCTCTCTCCTCCTCATTCTACAGATGGGCAGTAAAGTGTGTTTTTCTCTCCAGACATTCTAAGATACATAATCCACTTTGTGAAAATATTTGATGACCTGGAATGAATTGCCTTCTCCAGAAGAAAGCATGCCCTGGAGAAATTACTGAGAGCAGTGCCTGGGTCAGAGTTAAGTAAATAGGCAGTAAGAGGGTTTTAGTCTTCATTCCTGGTTTGTGTGTTTTGATTTTATTTTCCAGGTAGCTGTCTGCTGCAAGTTCCTACTGCATACATGAGCACTGTATTTTGGGAAAATGAATCTTTCTGGATTAAGGAAAGCTTTTCATTTTCTTAAAAACAATTTAAAATATACCAGAAATGAAGCTATCGTAGGGCATTCTTGCTGGACCTGGTCTTTTACCACTAAAAGCAGAGGAAGGACTAGTCTCTCTGTAAGGCAGTAGTTTAGATGGAGCTCTGTTGCCATCCCTCACCCTTCAGTTGACCACACATGACATTTTTCAGGCCAGGGGTAGCACAGAAAAATCGTTAATGATGTAGCCTGGGATCTCACAAACAGAAAACATACCATGGACTGTTTCTTCACTATCTAATCTTTGGACCCTATAAGCCTGTAGAAAATATTTCCTTCTAATATCTCAATATTTTTACTTCCTGGTTTAAGTATGATGTGTGCTGCTTTAGCTAAGGAGGAGCTGTGCAGGACAGATCTGCTGTCTGGCCTGACTGCATGGTGCCAGGAGATGCCACCAGCCAGGTTCAACTGAATCACGCTGGTGAAGCCCTGCTCAACTTAGAGTTTTACCAACACATATGGCACGCTTATATTTCCTTATGGTTCTGCCTCCATTTCCCAGGGTTAGTGTCTCAGCTGGTTCCTCAGGGCTTGTGCCACACAGGGGTCATTGGCTGAGGAGCGGGAGCAAAAGGAAAACCTCTTAGCATGGGTTCCACTTGCGAGGACCCGCGTCAGGAGGTGATGTTGTGAAGGGAGCAGAGACAGCCTCGTTTGTGGTTTTCCACAGAGCCCTTCTGCGTCTTTTGTAGTCACAGTTTCCTGTTGCAAACAGCAGCGTGAGGTCTTTTAAGTCACACCTTTTGAGGTGAGAGCAGCCAGACGGAGCAAGAAAAGGTGGGGGTGCTGCTTGCTTTTCTAAACCAGAAAGAAGCAGCCCCCAGAACAGGGCATGTATGTAATTTCCATGAGAGACCATGGCTTCGTTCAGACCATGACTCACAGGTCAAGGTTTTTTCCCTCATCTAGAGGGCAGTTTGACATGGCTGTGGTCTTCAAGCCACTGTAGCCCACCACAGTACAGTCACTGGGGTGTGGAAGATGCTCCCATGCCAGCTCCGGAGGACAGTAGTTGTTGTACTGTGTAGAACCCATGTGTCCCAGCTACCTGGAAAAATTAGTCTGGCATCAAGAGCAGTGATATATCCACCTTCTTGGCAAGACAGGGCAACAATTTCTTGCTGGAAATTGCAGGATGGAACTGAGCGGAATGGCTCATGCCTCTGGTTGCTATTATTCTAGCCATCAGAACAGACAGAACTCGTGGTGATACGCACTGAGTGCATCATTTCAGAGCTTTCTTTAAAACTGTACTCTGTTATAGAGACATCCTGTTTAATGAGTTATTTTTGACCTCTGGCTGCAGACCTGTGAGTGGGAGTCTGAATTAACTGTGATGGCCAAGAGCAGCTAGCAGCTGTCCACAGGTACAAAACTCATCATGCAGGAGTCTGTGGCAATACTGGGGGAAGAGGGGTTGTACGCTAGGAGTGGAAGCTGCTGATTCGGAGCACGTCTAAAGCACACAGCTCCTTAAAGCCTGACTTCTGTTAAACACAATCAATGGTAATAAAATATCATGGCCAAATATGAATCTCTTGCACTCCCCTGTGTATGAAAGACAGGGGACAAGCAAAGTGGGTATAAGCTCCATCCTCTAGTAGGAGTAAGGAAATTGAGCATTTCAAGTGCTTTTCATTTTCAAAGTACTTTGCAAGAGCTTTCTAAATTATTCTGACTGCTTACATCAGCCTCTTTTTACACCATACATGAACAAAGGCATACACAGATATCTAAGCCATGGAAAGTAAGCAGTGATCCACTCTCTAAATCTAAGGGAGAATCTTTTGATTTCCCAACACCCTGCGATCTAAAGTGTGCCACCAGCTGCTAGGAGATGAATCGATCTCATCAATACTGGGTTTAGGAGTCAGCTGGAATTCAGCACTGTTGTGCTTCGGCTATTGGGTGACAACAGGGCACTGTCAACAAGAAAACAACAGCAAAGCTTACCTTGCATCAGGAACAGAGCCGCGATGTGTAGCACCCCGGTGAAAGTCATGCTGTGATGTGGGCGCAGGCAGGCTGTGCTGACTTCCTCTCTCTGCAGGTCCCTTTTCACTATGGGGGGAGCAGATTTACCATGACTTCATCACCGCTGGGGTCTCTGCCTTCTTTCCTTCTCTCTGGTGTTCCACTCTCTTCTCCCCTCGTCTCATATTTCCTCTGTGTTGGTGACTGCTGAGAAATCTGTGACCTCACGAGTCCCTAAAGTGACACCGGTGGGCGACAGGACTGGGGGCAGCCAGGAAGGCAGAGCCTGTTTGGTGGATGCTGCTGTAGCGTGGTAATTGGCAAGGATGCTGCAATTTTGTCAGTTTTGTCAGTCTGCATCCTGTAATGCCGTGTGCATTGCTCTGCTTGCGGGGATTATGGAAAAACAAATAGCGAGAGAAAGGTAATTCACTGCGTGTGGTTGGTGGCTCCCCAGGGAACTAAGAGTACTGGTGAGGAGGTTGTGAAAGGTTTGCTGGGCACTGAAGCATGGGGCAAGGGATGACTACACCAAGGAGGTCCCAAAGGACCGGTGGCAGAATCAGCGTTTCCCTTGCAGGGTTGATTATTCCAGGAGCTATGTGGAGCTTAGTAAAGCTTTTTGTGTCTCCTGGGTGTGTGATAGATCACAAATCACACGATCTATCCACGCCTGTTCTAGGCAGAGACTCTTTTTGTGATGTAGCCATGTGTGTTGATTTCCAAAAAGGCTTTGGCAGACCCTCTTCTGGCGCTTCTCTGCAACTGCCCAACATTTAGTGCAAATGACTAATGCTGTCAAAATGAGCTGACTTTAAGATTAAAAAATATGGCTTAAAAACTGTGTGCATTTGCGGGACATGGGTTTGAGTGAACTGGGCAAAATGGTTAGATGTAAAATGCATAATGTGCTTATAATTAATTTATTAGAATCTCTTTCCATTGAACTTTCAGGTGCATGGAAGTCTGTCATTCTGTTAGTGTATATTTGGTTGACAAAAGCTATGGCTTTTACGTTAAACATAATATAATCAGTTTTACTGGAAACAGAGCTTTTAATGTAGATAGTTGGTTGGAAAGGAAGCAGTCTCACGGGCTGATAAACCTACTGCTGGATTAAAAAATCCAGATCAAGAAGGAAGATAAGTGTTGTAAAGGTAAGCACTGCTTTGTTTTTAAAGGTTGTGCTTCCAGTTCTCCACATCTAAACCTGACAGTAGAACAACTCTGGGTAAAAAAAGCCATCAAGCAGCAGAGGCACTGAAGCCACCTGCTTCCAGCCCAAGGGGTAAAACTCTGTCCCCGTGAAGTAGATGGAAAACCAGACTTGAGATGGTTTTGTGCCATCTGCTGTCAAATAATTGAACTTCATCTTCAGTGCGGGGAAGAAAAACGTAGCTCATATTCCCCTTTCTCCTTGATGCTTCTGAGGCTTAGACACCATCCAGGTGGGCATCCCAAAATGGGATGTGGGGAGGGCAGCATTACAGCCCAAACTGAGAAGCAGCCCTGACACTTTTTTTTTCCCAAGGTCCCAGCACAGCTGTTCTCTAGGCACATGCCCAGTACAGGTGTTTTTCCTGCCTACATCCTGCTGGAGCCACAGAACATGTTGCTCAGGTGTGCTCCAGCAATGCATGGGTCCCTCTGAAGGGGCACTTCATTGAAGGTCTGTGTCAGAATATTCACTCCAGCAAAGTTAAGTATGCTTGAGAGGAAATTGTAAAATAGGAAGGGCAAGGTGTGGGTGCACGGCATCTTTATTAAATCCTCTACAAGACATTTTTGTCTGACTTCAGAGAAATCCATTTAATGTAATAAGCAAATTAAAATGCCGTGGTTGTTTGAACAGTTGTTAGCAATTGAAGCTGAGATTAAAAACAACCAACCAACCCCCTTCCCCCCCAAAAAAATAAAAAAATACAGATGTCACAGGTAATTACAGCTATTTTTGGCAATACAATTATTGGTTTTTTTTAAACAGCAAACATTTTTCTCAAATAAATACAATCTGCTCACACTAAAAAAACATAATAAACAGAACGATACAGCATGTTTAAAATGAAAAAAAAAAGTATCCATTGATAACATCAAGTTTTAAGAGATGTCCACAGAGAGAATCTTCAGAAAGTACATTTCAATGGGAAGTAACAGAAAGGAACTGGCTGTGTATTTTCTGTTCTGTAGCATGTATGGAATATTCCCCAGGGAACAAGTACTTGAGGAAGTGGTGAGGAGTAGAGATTTAGAGTGTATGCAACCGGTCACGCTTACTGCTTTTTTTTTTTTAATTCATTCACCATTTTAAGGATGTCTGTTACTACCATCGTTTTACATGTATTTTTAAATTTCAAATAATATCCTCTATGCTTAGGCTCTTTTTAAAAAAAAAAAAAAATCAAACCCCACAAACGAAACCTGTTAAGGCTCCCTCTCTAATCAATAGTTTTCATATGGAATTCCAACAGGTTTTAAGTTGTGAAGCATTGCAAACTAATTTCCAGCTCTGGGTTTAAATGAGGGTTAGTTGACTCCAGCCTAACTCAACTATCTAGCATCCCTCTTTTAAAGGGGGAAACAGCACTCTAGCACCCCTTTCTACCCTCTTTGTTTTTTTTCCCTGAAGTTATGGCCCGGATCTTCAGTTTGCATAAAGAAGTAAAGCTTTGTTGATTTGAGCATACAGTGTTGGTTTGCAGTCCCAGAGAACCTGGCTCTGTGCTCAGAGAATTTAAGAATTTGGCTGCAGCTGCCACTGCACTCAATGGAAGGGAAATGCAGACACTTGAGACCTGGCACCTAGGAACTGCTAGCTGCCTCCTGTACAGACTGTTGGGATCTGATGCAGCTCACAGTGGAGGCAAGGAAAAGACTGCACGCACCTGAAATAGATCACACCTAATGCTCTTCTGGGACAAAACACTGAAGTGACATTAAATACACATTAATGAGCAGCAATGGAGTGAAAGTGAAGCAGCAACTGGTTTATATTCTTAACATCTCAATTAAAAATCTACAAGAACATTTTTTTCCTTTTTCCCCTAATGAGCCCTATCAACACGAGACTACTTAATGCAAAACCCCTATGAGAAATCAAATGCTAGAAGAAAATAAGTTTTTTGCTTCAGAGATTCTTGACACCTGAAAAAACTAATTTGACATGAGACTAGAATTGCCAAAATACTTCCCCAAACATCCAAAAATATAATTTTTTTTTAAGAAGAGTATTTTAACACCTGTCTTCTCAAACAGAGCGCTCTTTTCTATAGTACTTAACTATATGCAAAGATCAGCTAGTACAATATTCAAATTGTGCATTCAGGTTTTGTTCCCTCTGTTTCGTGCTTCTGTCTGACACACACCTTGTAATGTCACTGAACTGCAGCAGGACCTGAGCAGCCTCCACTGTTTTGTACAGGCAGTATTTGTTGCCCCAAATGACATCTTGCTAGCCCCTAAGTGTGAAACAAAAAGCAGCCTGGAGAATCACACATGCATCAGTAACCAAATTAGTTTTGGTGTGATTGTCATCTTATTTAGCTTTAAGGTCTTTGCAAATTTGAAGCGAGTAAGCGTGGAGGAAAACAAGCTAGAAATGCTCTTCAGAATGTCTGTACACAGCCAAAAATAGTTTAAATTACAGTTAAAAACTCAAGTGACAGCAGAACAACTGCAGGAGAGCAGTTCCTTCTGTCATCTCATAAGTTATCTCCCTGACTTTTCAGTATACATCCCTGGTAAATAATGCACTTGCGAATGGCCCGCTGTGTATTACCTAGGCATAGATGTATCAATAATGGACCATCGTTACGGATTGTGACAATGCAGGTATTGCACGGGATGAGCTCTCTGCTGACTCAAAATCTGTACAGAATCTGGTGTACTCTCCCTGGCAAGCTCAATAAAACCCAGAGACAACGCCGAGCTAAAACCCCTTAAGATTTCTTGCGTCGCAACTGCTGAGTGTTTTGCCTCTTTTAGGAATATTTTGGAAGAAGCAATTGCAGTTGATCACTCCGTATTCATTCTGACCACTGAAAACGCAGCTCAGTCAGAGACCAGTCCAGCTGAAGGCTCAATAGGTTAAAAGAAACCATCCCAAAATCAGACTTGGATCTTGCTATGAATGCTAAGTGTCTGTCAAAGTTGGAGGTTCTGTGCCATACAGACATTTCAAACAGGGAGACTAGTCTGCAGAGGAGGGGTATGTAGGATGCCAGAATTAATTTCTTGGTACTTCTGAACTTGCCTTTGATGCTATTTATGGGAATACTCAGACTTACAGCCCTAACCAAGAAAGGAGTATGCCTAAATCTCTTTCATCTGATTTAAGCCCATTTTTAAGTACCTTCTCAAAGCCAGTCTACACTGATAAGACCTGTACGAATGTCTGCAGGAACTTTTTGACCCAAGGCAGATGATTTAAGATAATATTAATCTGAAAGAAACCTGCTTTGATGCCAGTTTATGATACAAACTGCCCACTGTGGTGTATTTTGCATTCTCCTGTGAAGCAGCTGGTATTGGGGTTTTGCAAGCTGTTGCACTCAGAGGACACTTGTGATTTCAAAGATTTTTAGCCACAGATAGAAACCCTTTTCTTCACCTTCTCCCCAAAACATAACCCTTCCCCCACCAGATAAATAGCATCTTAATAGGCCAAAGCATGTTGCTCCAAAGCTTCAGTGTACTGTTTGTTCAGCTCTGCTTCGTCTTTATGACAGGTGGCACTTGGGAATTAAGGGAAAGGAAGCAAAGCACGCAGCAGAGGCTGAATTTCAGTGTCTTTTTGATTTCATCATTGCCTCCTGAAGAAAGCTGCTTACTGCAGAATGTCACCAGGGCTGATGGAAAAGCCCCCAAGGGACAGAAGGCCACCACTGTGTAAATGACCAGCATAAAATCTCAGTATAAAAGGGAAATACCTCTTCCAAGGTCTTGTGAAGGGGATTTAAATGACACCAACACTTTAGGCTGGGTCTGTGCACAATGGTGGATTTCAGTAATCTGAATAAAGGAAAAATAAAA